AAGCGTGCTGCCAAATAGTTTCCAGATGTCTAACACATGTTCCGAACGTGTTTTTAACGTGTAAAAATCATGCCCGAAGCGTTGTTAGGACATGTTTTACACATCGTAAACACATCTTAATCCAGTGCTAGGATTGTTATGCCATGGCAGCCAGAACGCCACAGCCTGGTCCGACAAGGGAAAGCAGTTCCCCACAAACACATTCAATCATATATTTTTGGTTTTGACTGTTTGGGGATTTTATACATGTGTGTAATTTTTGACTTTGGGCTCGCCCCGGGGGGGAGGTTTTCGAGGTAGCACCAGTACAGTCAAGGCGCTGAGATGAGGACCACTTTGGGCTCGGGAGGGGCAGTGTTTTTCGGGCCGCTCTTTGCGTCTGGGTCGGGGAACCTATTCCTCTCCCTCGCTCTCCCTCGCCCCTCGTGTTGCAGCGTGTGTGTGAGTGTGTGTGTGTGTGTGTGTGTGTGTGTGTGTGTGTCCGCGCAGCACCGGCTATCACAATCTACGTATTTGTTTTCCCATCATGAGGGGGAACGGTCAGGTTGGACTGGCTCTTGGGGGGAAGCTTCGACTTGGGATCGGCGAGATGTCGCCGATGGATCGGCGGTAGACTTAAGTCGGGCATGTCTCTCTACAGGAGGAATATTCAAATCGTTGTGTTGACTATGTTGCATTTTTCTGTCAAAATTCGTCCGTCCGGGGACCGCTAGACTCGACTGGCAGAGGAATTACGGTGCTTTGGCCTCAACAAGAAAGATTCCCTCACAAAAAAATGGCGCGCCAGCAAGGCAGGCATCGGTTGTCGGGAGATTCGCCACGATCAATCTTGCGGGGGGGGTCACCCTTGGAAGCCCGTCGATGACATGGGCGTCTTTCTGCGTCCAAGCGTCATCGTCAACTTCTTCGCATCGTCGCCGCGGCCTTATCGCGGCGTGGAATGAGAACGCGGCGCAGGCAATCGCGCCCACCAGGTTCTGATGAGCAATCGGAGCGAATGTGCCCCGCAGATGAGGTGCGCAACGGAACCTAGTGAAAATTATTGACGCTGCGCGCTCCCACCAGCGCGTTCAGAAACGATCCCCGCGCGAGTTGCCCTGGCCAGGGAAACGCAGCGGCATGTAGTCCACTAGTAAGCCACATGAGAGGCGGAGGTGGAGGAGGAGGGCGAGCAGGATAAAGAGGAAGTAGTGAGGGACACAGCCTATCCAGGAACGATTCCCAGGGGAGTCGTCTGGAGGAGGGGCGTCGGTGAGAACAGAGTGAAACAAGGAGGCGAAAGGCAGTGAAGTCTCGCACCAGGGAGCCTTCTGGAGCCATCTTGGGGCAATTTTGGATGCCTGTGGGGCTCTGTTGGGGCCCTCATGGTGCCCTCTTCGGGCTCTCTCAAGGTATTTTTCGGGGCCTTGGAAATCCTCTTGGGGCTACCTCGGAGGACATCGATACAAAAGGGGGGTTCTTCATGTCAGCCCCCCCGTCAGAAGCAGAACAATAGCCTCCTGGAGCCCTCTTGGGGCGCTCTTCAGGCGCTCTCGGGCGCTCTGGGGGCTGTCTTGGAGCCCACTTAGTCTCCTCCTGAGGCTCTCCTTTGCGATCTTGGAGACGTCTTACGCTCCAGAGCTGATCGGAAGCGACACGACGCGAAACCATATACCATCGGATCCTTTCAGTTCTCGAGGGATGTTTTACCTCTCGGACGCGTTCTTGCTTCGTGGCATCTTGGAGCTGTCTTGGGGCGGTACTGGGGCATTTTCGAGGCACGTGGGAGGCGATCTTAAAACACATTAGGGTATCTTGTGCCATCGTGGGAGCCGTCTTAAATCTTCTGAAGCCCTCTTGCAAGCCCTCCACCGTTGACCCCCTGGCAACGTGCCGCGAGTGACACCGAACCAGCGCATCAAGCTCGCATTTACTCGAAGGCGCCTCCGGTGCACACTGGTGCTGGTGAGTCTGGCGCACTTGGCGTACACTGGCGTTTCGCCTGAAGCATCCTCAGCACTTCGTCCCAGTGTACAACTTTGCGAGCCGGGGGGGCGTCCCAGTGTACACCAAGGGTGGGCCTCTACGCAACCTGCCTTCTCATCTCCCCCTCTCTCTCCCTCCCTGTCCCCTCTCTCTCTACTGACCCCCCTTCGGCGCCCTCCTGAGATCTGGGATGGCTCCCCCCTCGGCCCTCTACTGAGATTTGAGCCAGGTCGCGGCGCGCCAGGCTCACGAGGGACGCCGTGCTTGCTGGCGAACGTCGGCTCTGCAGAAGCGCCGATTTCTGGACGCTTCCCGTATCCCCACCAGCTGTCTTCAGACTCCCTGGATGCACCGTTGCATGTCTCGTTCAGGGGCTGTTCTGCAGACTCCCTGGATTGCACGTGGCTCTGCCGCCCTGGGCGCTGCCCCCCCCGCCGCCTGATCCGCGGCCCCCGCGCGCGCTCGGCAATTTAGTCGCGGCCGTAGCCCGCCCGCGACCGCCCGCCGCTGGCGCTTCCGCCTGCGGCTGTAAAAAAAAAGTATCCCCACCAGCCCATCCAGAAACGATTACCGCGCGAGTTGCCCTGATCAGGGAAGTGAAACAGCATGTAGTCCATTGGTAGGCCACACAAGAGGCGGAGCTGGAGGATGAGGAGGGCAGGAGAACGAGGACATAGGGAAGGGGATAGTGCAGAAACGATGCCCAGGGGAGTTGTCTAGAGGTGGGGCGCAGGTGAGCATACGGTAATGCAGGGAGGCGAAAAATAGCGAAACCAAACTTCGGGGAGCTCCTGGAGCCTTCTTGGGATAATCATAAAAGCCTTCGGAGCGCTCTTGGGGCGCTCTCGGGGCCCTTTGGGGGCCCTTCTGGAGGGCCTGGAGGGTCTACATGGGAAACCTTGGAGGCAATCGAAAAAGAGAGGGGTGGGGTTCTTGATGTCAGCGCCCCCGCTGGAAGCTGAACATAGCCTCCTGGGGCCCTCTTGGGGCGATCTTGAGGCGCTCTCGGGCGCTCCGGGGGCCGTCTTAGAGCCCTCCTGGGCACCTTTTGGGGCGCTTTTCTGTGATCTTAGAGCCATCTTGAGACCTTCAACGCCGATCAGAAACAAACATGGAACGAACGAGAAAAACAGTAAGGACATAACGTAGGAAATCCGCATCGCACCAATCTCCTGCACGTGCCGCGAAGGAAGCACGTACGCAATTTCGATTCAACGCAACGTGCGCGCAGAGACGGGACATACCGATGAGCACGCATCGTTGCTAAGCGTCGACTGGCGTGCGCCTGGCGTAATCGTCGCGTGTGCGTTTCGTCCGCGCGGTATAGTCTATCGCGGTGCGGCTCGCGCCAAAACCATGACGTGGGTGCATTGTGGTGGAGATGCTTGTCCATCGTGGGGTAAGCCCAAGCATCGGTGCATTTCCGAATCGTCGTTGTTCCCCCGTTGTATTTCTTCGCGCTAGGTGCCAGTGATTTCCCAGGGTTTCGTTTTGCCTCGTCGGGCAGCGTGTGGGAACCCTCCGAAACGAACATCCGCCTGTGGGGGGTCATGCCCGACCTGACGATAGGTCCCCGAAAGGCGACTCCGCACGCTCCCGGACGGAGGTGGGGCTGTCGGGACCCTGCCAGCGATGAGTGGGCGACTGGGCGTCGATGCGGGCCTCTGGCGGCCGTTCGAGGCGATGCGGGCGCCCCCAAAGGCGCCCTCGGCGAGGGGCGCAGCGGCCGGAGCGCATCCCGAGGCTGGAGAGCCGCCGAGAGCCGACGACGTCGTCCGAACGTCTCGGGGGGGCCTCTTGGAGGGCGTCGGGGGGCTTCTCTCGGCGGCCTGGGCACTGCCTTCTGGGGGCGGTCTGGAGGCCTCTTGGGGGCGATCTCGAGGCCTCTTGGGGGGCGTCGGGAAAAACCTGCAACCTCGAACCTCGACGCTTCGTGTCGGGCCGGACGACAGGGGCGGATAGAGAAAGGGGGGTGGGTACGAAATCTGCTGCATGCAGCTGGTTTCGGCCCTACTGAGGGGCCCATTCCTCGATACATGGCCGCCTCTGGCGCCGGGGGGGGTGCGGGGAAAATCAGCTGCGTGAGCTGATTCTCAAACCCCCCCTTTGCTATCCCCCCCTTTCGCCCGGCCCGCTCGTGGCGCCAAGGATCACCGAGCGCGTTCCACTACTCTCAGGAAGGGAAAAAACACACAGACACAATTAATCGTCGATCCCCCAGGAAAATATGGGAAAATATGGGAAGTGGGGGGGAAGACAGAAACCCAGAAAATATGGGAAAATATGGGGAATACTTTTATTTGTGTGTATTTATTTGTGTGTCCTGGGGCCTCTTCATTCGATGCAGTGGATCCACGCCATTGGCGAGTGGCTACTCTGCGACTAGTGGAGCGCGCTTGTCTGAAGGAGCGGCGCCCGCCGTCGCCCCCGAGCTCGTCGCGGCCGCGCTCAGCATCCCGTCCGTCAAGGTTTCCAGGAGGGGACAAAGCACACAGACACGAGGCATCGCCGATCCCGAGGAAACGTTGGGAAATATTGGAAGTGGGGGAGAAGACGCAAGTCCAAGAAACATGCAAAACTGTGGGGGATCTTGGGGTATGTGTGTGTGCTTACTTGTGTGTGTGTGTGTGTGTGTGTGTGTCCCTGGGCCCCTTCAAAGGTGCCCTCCATGGACGCGGAGCACGCGGAGTGCGCGGACGCCCTGCGGCTGCTGGTCGCGGAGGGCTCGCGGGCCGCCCTTGCCAGCCTGCTGGACACGCTGGCCTCCCACTTCGCCCACGAGGATCAGGGGCAATTCCAGGGGGGGGGGGTACAGTCGACCCGCATAACTAAGCATGGGCAACCTTCCCAAGGCTACCCTTGCATCCTTGCCTCCTCGGTCCATCCCCGGCCGCTTCCGTCGGCGGCGCCCCGCCCGCAAGGGGTCGACATGGCCTTCCAAGGCCCTTGCACCCTTCTCGCGCATCCTCGTGGTGCGGGCCGACTGCACTTTTGGGCCAGGTTCCCGGCCCGGCCGCCTTTCGCGGGTGCTCGGCGGTCTTCCAGCCTCGAGGGATGCCCGGCGGCGGCGGCGCCTCACCCGAGGCGCTCCCGGGTGCCCAGACCGGTCACCGGACGGCCGCCGGAGGCCCGAGCCGGGGCCCGAAGACCATATCGGGGGGCATAGGGGGAAAACAAACTTACCTCGCTTTTGACCACCCTCGCTTCCAAGAGATACCAAACGATGCCAAATTGCAGCCTGTACTGTCAGGCCGCTTGACGAGGAGGCGCGTGGTATGGCTTGGTTTTGCCTGGAAGCGAAAGCGGGGTAGGTAATTCACGCTCTGAGGGCAGGCTCCGGCGGGACGCGTCGACCGAAGATCCCGGATCGCCCACGCCTCGCTCCGACATGGGCCCCGGCGGCCCCCGCCCTGCCCGGGTTAGCGCGGAGTCGCGGGCGGGGGCCCGCCGCCGACGCGTGGGCGAGGTGCGGCGGGAGGCCCATGCCAGGAGGCACCCTGCTGGCCTCCAGGGTGCCCTGGGCTTCCTGGGTGTCGAGGGTCCTGCGGCGGAAGGCGCGACGCGACGTTCCCACAGCGAGAGGCCAGGGACGTCCTGGGGTCTCAGGGTTGGGTTTCCTGTGGCAGGTCTCTTGTGGTCGGGCCTCCACTGCACCGCCGATCCATCGGCGGTGTATCGACGATCCCAGGTCGAGATGCTTCCCCTCCGGAAGCCAGTCCTCCCCTTCTCGTTGCCCTTCAGAGGAGGCGCTCTTTGAGCAGTTCGGCTGGGGCAGGCGCCGTGGCGGAGACGCGGAGGGAGAGGGTTCCCGAGACCTTGCGCCAGTCCTGGCCAGTCGGGAACGGCGGCCATCCCTGGCTCTTTCTGGTCCCTGTTGGGCCTCCTGGAGGCTTCTCATCGCCATGGCTGGATCCGCCTCGAAAAACGGGTCACCAATGGACCCCGGGAGAGGTGCATGGACCGATCCTGAGCGGATTCGGGCCAGGCGCCTCCTGGGGCCCTTCCCGCCCCTTGGTGCCTGGAACGACTGGCCCAAGACGAAGGGCCTGTCGAGAGCAACGCCCTAGGCCCCAGGGTGTCCAGCGGCCGTTGCCCTCCATACGGTCGAGTTTGAGTAGTAGGTCGACCTTGTCAAATCAAGGGTGCTCTTGCGTCCTGCGTTTCGCGACCCATGCCTTCTACGTTCCTATGGCAATGTGGCCCTCGGAAGGGTATTGTGTCCTCTCGCGCGTCCTCTCCAATCGGATTCGACTGTACCCCTTTCCCTCATAGCATAGGCACGCCAACGCGAGCCTTGCGGCAGCGGTGACCCACGCGGCGGACCACAGGCGCATGCTTGAGAAGGTCCAGAAGCAGCTCGCGGTGGCGGGTGCGTCGGTCTCGCCGGCCTTCGTTCAGGAGGTCCTCCAGGACTTCCACGAGCACGCGACGAAGTACGACGCGAGGTCTGGGGTGGCTGAACGCGTGGTTGGGCGGGTGGTAGGATTAAGTTGGGCCTGTCCCTCTGCAGGAGGAACATTTCAAAGTAGTAGTGAAGTAGTCTGGGGACGATGTTTTGGCTATTTTTGATCATTTGTGACAATTTGTTTTAGGTATTTTTCATCTTTCGTCCGACATCCGCCTGTAGGGGGACATGCCCGACCTAATGGTAGGAGGGAGGGTACGAGTGTTGCTGCGTGCAGCTGGCTTCGGCCCCTCCGCCGGGCACTCGCCTCGACGCGCCGTCGCTCCGGGCGCCTCGGGGCGCCCGAGCAGATAGCTCCACATGCAAGGGCGGCAGGCGGACGCCCCAAGTGGCGCTCCGCGCGCCAGGCAGGTGGGTCTAGCGCAGGTCCAGGAAGTCCGCGCGGAGCGCCAGCAGTGTCTGTGTGTTTGTGCCGTTTTTTTGTTACTTCGACCGGAAGAGGTGCGCTCTCGACCCGCGAATCAAAAAGTTGTTGCGTCGTTTTTTCTTCTTTCACCGAGCGCGTTCCACTACTCGCCAAGTGCCTACTCGCAAACGTCCGAAACACAGATGTCGGCTTTGATGTAATTCATCGCAGACCCCCCGCGGGGTATCAGGGCCATCTGCGAGGAGCTACTTTCTGCGAGTAGTGGAACGCGCTCGTCTATCCTTGGAAGATCCTCCCAAGCACCTCGGGCCGCGAACCTCGATCTGCTCCGCGGCAGCCGCCTCGAGTCACTTCCGATGGCATGACGGGGGGAGGCGCCTCGCGGACTTCGGCCTCGGGGGGGGGCCCTCGCCGGGCCCCCCGGGGGCCGCCAGAGGACGCCTCGGAAGGAAAGCCCGGCCTCGGGGAACGGGTCGAGACCTTTGGGGGCCGACGTTCCCAGACCCCCGACGTCATGTTTTTTTGTTCCCTCAAATTATATATATGTCTTTATCTATTTACGTATGTATGCATTTATTCATTTGTATATATACATATATCGGCGCACCGGGTCCGGGGGCCCGGGGCCGGGACCTCGACCACAAATGTGCACCCCGGGGGGCCTGGAGGCTCGTCGGGGCTTGCCGGAGGCCTCCCCAGTCAGACAAGACGGCCCAAGAAGCGCCCAAGACGGCCCAAGAAACTTCCAAGAGGCCTCCAAGGGCTCCGAGATGCTGAAGATGGCCTCCAGACGTCCAAGGACGCCCCCAAGAGGCCCCAAGAAGCCTCCAACATGCGTCCCAAGAGGGCCCCTAGACGCAAAAATTGGCCCATTCCCTTCGTAAAACGTACATTTTCAACAAAGTTGTCTTTTGGGCTTTCCGACGTTACAGGACGGCCCAAGAGGCGCCCAAGACCGCCCCAAGACGGCCCAAGAAGCTTCCCAGAGGGCCCCAGGACAGCCCAAGAGGGCCCCAAGACGGCCCAAGAGGCGCCCAAGATGGCCCAAGAGGGCCCCAAGACGGGCCCAAGAGGGGGCCCAGAGGGGGACCACGAACCGCAAGCTCGAGCCTTCCGCCCCAAGAGGCCGCCAGGAGGCCCCCAGGAGGCCCCTCAAGAGGCCCCGGGAGACCCCAGACGTCCAAGGACGCCCCCAAGAGGCTCCAAGAAGCCTCCAACATGCGTCCCAAGAGGGCCCCTAGACGCAAGAATTGGCCCATTCCCTTCGTAAAACGTACATTTTCAACAAAGTTGCCTTTTGGGCTTTCCGACGTTACAGGACGGCCCAAGAGGCGCCCAAGACCGCCCCAAGACGGCCCAAGAAGCTTCCAAGAGGGCCCCAGGACAGCCCAAGAGGGCCCCAAGACGGCCCAAGAGGCGCCCAAGATGGCCCAAGAGGGCCCCAAGACGGGCCCAAGAGGGGGCCCAGAGGGGGACCACGAACCGCAAGCTCGAGCCTTCCGCCCCAAGAGGCCGCCAGGAGGCCCCCAGGAGGCCCCTCAAGAGGCCCCAGGAGACCCCAGACGTCCAAGGACGCCCCCAAGAGGCCCCAAGAAGCCTCCAACATGCGTCCCAAGAGGGCCCCTAGACGCAAAAATTGGCCCATTCCCTTCGTAAAACGTACATTTTCAACAAAGTTGTCTTTTGGGCTTTCCGACGTTACAGGACGGCCCAAGAGGCGCCCAAGACCGCCCCAAGACGGCCCAAGAAGCTTCCAAGAGGGCCCCAGGACAGCCCAAGAGGGCCCCAAGACGGCCCAAGAGGCGCCCAAGATGGCCCAAGAGGGCCCCAAGACGGGCCCAAGAGGGGGCCCAGAGGGGGACCACGAACCGCAAGCTCGAGCCTTCCGCCCCAAGAGGCCGCCAGGAGGCCCCCAGGAGGCCCCTCAAGAGGCCCCAGGAGACCCCAGACGTCCAAGGACGCCCCCAAGACGCTTCGCGTCACCAATTTCTTCTCGCAACGATTCCTGGGTCTGTGACTCGACAGAACCTAAGCGCGCGCGAAGCGCGCGCGTGGTTATAGTATATATATATATATATATATAACTTATTTATATTCTATTTGACTTTCTAGTAACGTCGGCCCTCACAGGTCTCCACCCCTTTTCCTGGGCCCGTTTTCCAGCCCGAATCGTGTTTGGACGGTCCCGAGGCCCAGCAAGGTCCTCGAGAGGCCGAACATCTGGACAAATTATCCTCCCGTCGTGATCTTCTCCTTGCCCGAGGGGGGTCTGGGGGGGCCGGCGTGATGACAGAGCTCATGACGTGGGACACCCTGCTTGCCTCCAGGGTGAAGTCGTGCCCGTCCCTCTACAGGAGTATAGTCAAACATAGACAAAACATAGTCTGGGGATTTTTTGTTTTAAAAAATAAATCAGAATAACAATAATAATATTATTATTAATAATCGTTTAAATAATAATAATAATAATAATAATAATAATCATAATAATAATACTACTAATAATAATAGTAATAATAATACGAATAATACCATTAATAAACATAATAATCATCATAATAATAATACTAATAATCAAAATAATATTAATAATACTTATGATAATACTACAAATAATAATCATAATAATAGTAGTCGTATTTTTCGACCATCTGGGAGTATTTTTTGAGTATTTTTTATTTTTCGTCGACAATCCCCCTGTATGGGGGACACGCCCGACTGAACCCCAGGGCGCCCTGGGTTGCTTGGGTCTCGATGGTCTTGCCATGGGGCGCGTGGCGCTCCCGCACCAGAGAGCGACGGACGCCCTGGGGTCCCGGGGTCGGGTCTCCCGTGGCAGGCTCCCTGTGCATGGGCCCCCGTCGGCCCTCGTCGGCTCCTTGCCGCCTTCTCCCTTCTCCCTTCCCTCCCGTAGTCGGCGGCGGCGGCCAGGGCGCTCTCCGGGCGGGGGGTGGGGCCCAGCGATGTGCCCCCCCCCCCTCCCCCCCCCCCACTGCGGGTCGCAGGCAGATTCCCGCCGCCCTGGACCGACAGGACCCCCGTGGCCGCCCTCGGGGCCTCCAGGGGGCGCGAAGGCCGGAATCTTGGCTTCCAGGCAGCCTCCCCGAAAAGACCACGAGGTTTGAGTCGAAGACGCCTTCGGCGAATCACCGCCGCCCCCTGCCTGCTGGAAGCGCACGCGTGGCCAATCGTTGTGGCCAGGCCTCGTCCCTCCCGCCTCCTTCTCGGGTGTTGCCGAAAAGGGGCCCCTGGCCCAAAAGGTGTGCGCGTGTGTGTGCGTGTGTGTGTGTGTGTGTGTGTGTGTGTGTGCCAGTTGTCGCGCCGGGGCTCCTCCTCCCCCTCCGTGCAATGCGGCCTTAATTTGCATACAGCGTGTTCTCTGTTGCCATTCCGCCGGAGCAGTCACCTTCTGCCCAGCCGCCGACGCCCAAAAAGTGCGTGTGTGTGCCCCCAGGATCTTCTGGGGAGGCCCCGATGGCCTCCACAGCCCCCCCCCCTGCCGCGTGTCGTCTTCGACGGGTCCGTGCCCGGCGCTCTCTCTCGGGGCCGCTTGGCGCTCGTGGTGGAACGCCCCCCCAGGGGGCTCACTTCTGGGCATCCTCCTCCTCCTCCTCCTCCTCCTCCTCCTCCTCCACGGATCCCGCAGAGAGGAGCCCACGGAGTCAAAATCAGCACTCAAGACGGGGTGGAGCGCCTCCAGCAAAATCTCCAGGCGCGGAAGTCGTTCAGTACTGAAGGATCCACGTACAGTGCTGTTTTTAATGCATGCTCCGCGTGCGGATCATGTATGGAAAAAACAGGGATTTAGTATTAAAAAACAACGATGAGTTCGTGCATCAATTTATGCACAAATGAACCACGTATTAAAAATCCTACATAAACAAATCCTATGTATTAAAAACTGCCCTGAAGGGTCAGGCCAACCACGTGCGCACGTCGCCACGGCACGGACCTGCCACGTGGATTTTCGGTGCCCTCCCGTCGTGCCCGTGCTTTTTGGCTTCCTGGGGGGGTCGTCTGAAGTCGACCTGTCCCCCTCCATGGGGATTTTCGCAGAAAAATAAACAATACCCCAAACATTTTATAGTATTTTTTTCACGTTAATGTTTTTTTTGTTCGTCGACGATCCCCTTGTAAGGGGACACGCCCGACATAAAAGGGGCGTCGCTGTTGTGGCCGAGTTCCCTTTTCGGAACAGTGCTGGTCGGGACGCGCCCCTGGGAGTGGATCCTGGGAGCAGGCAGCGCTGGCAAATTCGTGTTTGCGCCCTCTCGTTTGTTGAGGCCTTCTGTGCCTTTGGGGCAATCCATGACGTGCTCAGGGCACAGCGGCTCATCGTCCTTGCCATCATCGTAACCATCGTCGACATCATCCTCATCATCATCATCATCATCATCATCATCATCATCATCATCATCATCATCATCATCATCATCATCGTCACCATCACCATCTCCATCACCATCACCATCACCATCACCATCACCATCACCATCACCATCGCCGCCACCACCATCGCCGCCGCCACCACCGGGGAGCAGCAGTGCTGGTATACTCATGTTTGCACCCTCTCGTTTGTGGAGGCTTTCTGCGCCTTTGGGGCACTCCATTACGTTCGGGGGCGGACAGGACCCCCAACAGCGACACGTCGATTGGTGAACTGTCCGTTTTCGGTTCTCGAGAGGGCGCCGTGGCCGTCCTTTTCCAGGCTTGCGCCCGCCAGGTTTGGGCCTCGGGTCGTTTTCACTAAACCACGTTTCACTAAAGGGGGGCCTGTCCATCCCCGATACGTGCTCAGGGCACAGTGGCTTATCGTCCTTGCCCTCGTCGTTATCATCATCAGCATCATCAGTCTCATCATCATCACCATCGCCGCCACCACCATCACCACCACTGCCGTCCCGTCGGCACCAGCATCGTCATGATCATCATCAGTATTTCCTCACCGTCATTGTCAGTCATCACGGCCACAACCATCATCATTATTATTAGTCGTATTCCACTATTATTATCATTCCTTATCATCATCATCATCATCATCATCATCAACGCCCCCAACCGGTTCTTGGAGGGACCCACTGCGCGAGACGGAGACTGATGCTTCTGCGGGCGACGACGATGCTGAGATGCTGATGATGTTGATAGTGACGCGGGGACTGATGTCCCTGCGGACGGCGGCGGTGGTGTTGATGATTGTGATGGTGATGGTGTTGGTGATTATGGTGCTGATGGTGATCATGGCGATGCTGATGATGGTCGTTGCGATTATGGTGATGCTGATGGTCAACCGCATGATGGTGATGATACTGTTAGTGTTGATGATGCTGATGATGTAAATGATGATTGCGGCCTTGACGTTGATGCTGCGGATTCTGAAGATGATGGTGTTGGTGCAGACGGTGATGATCGCGATGCTTATGATGATGCAAGTGAAGCTACTAAGGGTAGTACTGATTTGTTTTCGATGCGGACTGCGATTGTCATGGTGATCGTGTGTATTATTATTCTTTTGGTTGTGGCGGTGATGCTGATGGTGAGGTTGTCGTAGTTTTTGCTGTTGCCGTTGTTGAATTCTCATTTCGGAAGAATGATTATTTTTGACCCCCCGCCCGGTGCGTGTATATTTTTCGATTGAAGTTTTTTCTCAGGGAAAGTCTTGAGGGTCAAACTGTGTCGTTGGCCCCCGCTTTACAACAACAACGGCTCCCGCCTGATTGTTTCCCCACAATTTATTGAAGAATCGCGCTCTCGCTTGGGACTTCCGGGCAATTTACCACCGAATCGCAGCTCCCGCCTGATACTTCCTAACAGTTTATTGCAGAATCGCGTTCTCGCTTGGGACTTCTTCGCAACTTCCCGCCGAGCCAGTTCGCTTCATATTTCCTGACAATTTAATCAGACGCCGTCCTCGACACTCAGGAATCGCGCTCCCGCTACATCTTGCCTGGCGAGTCAAGCAGGACTTGCGCTTCAACGACCCGCCCGCTCGACCCGCCCGTCGGGTCCTGCCCGCCCGACCAGTCCGTTAATGACTGCAGTCGCCGCTCGCTGCCTTTCGCCCGCCTTCGATGCCTCTCGCTGCCCGTACTGGTTCCGCGGTCGCCTTCGCTCGCTGCCCTTCGTGGCCCCGTTGCCGCCCTCAGTGGCCGTCGCTACCATTTGTGGCCCCGCACTATATGCCCTTCGCCCTTCGTGGCCCCCGCTCGCACGCGCCCGTCGTGGCGCCATACGCATGCCCTTCGTAGCCCCGCTTTCGCCATTCGTGGCCCCCTCGCTGCCCTTCGTGGCCCCTTCGCTGCCCTCAGTGGCCCCGCTGTCGCCCGTTGTGGCCCCGTATACGAATTCCCTTCGTGGCCCCCACTCGCTCGCGCCCGTCGTGGCCCCATGTGCATGCCCTTCGTGCCGTTGTCGCGCTTTGGCCCCCTCGCTGCCCTTCGTGGCCCCGGTGCTGCCGTCAGCGGCCCCGTCGCTGCCCTTTGTGGCCTCGGATTTTATGCCCTTCGTGGCCCACGCTGGCTCGTCTTACGATTTACTTGGGTATCACGCTATCGCTCGAGACTTCCTCGCGATTCATGCAGGACCCACGCTTCAGCAACCCGCCTGCTCGACCTCGTCGCCTGGGCCCGCCTTCCCGACCTGCCCGCTATGGATCTGCCCATCCGATCTGCCTGTCTGGTTTACCATTTGTTTTTTGCTCCTTGCCCCCCTCCTGCTAATTTCTCTCGTGCTGCATTCTTCTCCCTCCCCCTTCTACCCATCCTCTCTTCCTTTGTTTCAGGGGCTGCACTAAATACACGTGGCAGGTAAGGAAATTATGTCCCCAAGGGGGTACGATCGAAGACGACGAGGGCGGGTACCGAGGGTTTGGGATACACGTATTGATTGGCACGTAAGCAGATAGCGAACAATGTTAACATGATTGTTGCTGTTGTTATTGTTGGTTGTTGTTGTCGCAGTTGCTGTTGCCGTTGCTGTTGTTGTTGCTGCTGCTGTTGTTGCTGTTTTTGTTGTTGTGATGGTTGTGACTGTTGCTGCTTTTGTTGATGATGTTGGTGCTGTTGTTTGTGTTGTCGGTCTAGTTGTTGCTGATGTTGTGGTCGTTGCTGTTGTTCTTGCTTGCGCTGTTGTTGATGATGTCTGTTGTGTTGGGCGGTGATGATGATGCTGCTGATGATGATGATGGGGATGGTGATACTGATGATGATGCTGCTGAGGTGGTGCAGGAGGATGGTGAACAGGAGGGGGAGGAAGAGGAGGAGGCGTAGGAGGAGGCGTAGGAGGATGCTGGGGAGGAGAAAGAACAGGAGGATGAGGAGGAGGAGGAGGGGGAGAAAGAGCGAGCGGCATTAGCAGGACAGGGGACGAGGTGTCAGGATGATGATGATGATGATGATGATGATGATGATGATGATGATGATGATGATGATGATGATGATGATGATGATGATGATGCTGATGATGATGATGATGCTGATGATGATGATGATGATGATGAATGTGATGATGCTGATGAATGTGATGATGATGATGATGCTAATGATGATAGTGGTGATGATGACGATGATGGTGATGATGACGATGTTGACGACGATGATAATGATGCTGATGGTGATGGAGCCGATGCTGATGCTGATGATGATGATGACGATGCTGATGGTGATGCTGATGCTGATGATGATGATGATGATGATGATGATGACGATGATGATGATGATGATGATGATGATGATGATGATGATGATGATGATGATGCTGATGCTCATGCTAATGCTGATGCTGATGCCGATGATGATGATGATGATGATGATGCTGATGATGATGATGATGATGATGATGGTGATGATGATGATGATGATGATGATCATGATGATGATGATGATGATGATGATGATGATGATGATGATGATGACGATGATGATGGATGGGGAGGCGGCGGCGGCGGAGGAGGAGAAAGGGAGGAAGGGGGATGGACGAGGCGGGAAAAGGAATTTAGTGGGAGGGCAAGATGAGGAGAAGAAGGAGGCGGAGGAGGAGGAAGAAGAAGAAGAAGAAGAGGACGATGACGACGAGGGAGACGAACACCTCTCCTCGGCCACCCCCGCGAGGTACGCCGAGCCTCTCAGCGAGCTGGGCGCCAGGTAGGAGCCGCCCGGCGCGTGCCGCCCGCAGGCCGGGCATCCGCTTCCCTCAGTACGGTAGGTTCGCGTCGCTTCCAGCGGCGACCCCGCCGCTGGCGTTCATTGCCGACTGCCACCGGCGACCCAGCATCGGTCGATCGCTCATTGTTTGCTTGCAAGATTTTTATCCAGATCCACTGCGTCTTGGAGTTCTGGTCCGGGCTCCTTTCTTTCCTCCGATGCCAGAGGCGCCGCGGATATGCACAAGACAGTGTCGCCCCCGTAGGTCAGATGTTTATCCAGGTCGACTGCGCCGCGGCCTGTTGGCGCCCCTTCCCTGAACGTCCAAGACGCAGCGGGGATGGATCTACATCGTGCCCGCAAATTTTGAACGGCCCCCGTGATGTCAGGAACCAACGCCGGGGTCGACACGACACGAACCTGCCGTGCACCCGTTCCCCTTGTGCCAGCTCTCCGAGGCCAGAGCCTGTCCGTCACCACCTCCCTGGGAGCCGAGCACCCAGGAAGCAGTCGGACCTCCTCCTCCTCCTCCCTCCCTCCCTCCCTCCCCTCCCCTCCCTCCCTCCCTCCTCCTCCTCCTCCTCCTCCTCCTCCTCTCCTTCTCCTCCTCCTCCTCCTCCTCCTCCTCCTCCTCCTCCTCCTCCTACCAGCCGTACAGGAGGAATATGAAACATTCGCCTGGCGAAGGACCCAACCACATGCAGTTCTGAATGCCGCAATTGTAGGTGTCGTCTTAGGTGGAGCCCGCTTGTGGGACCATGAAGCGCTGTACCGGGTGGGGGAGACGCACGCGGACTGCGGAGGAGCTACCGATGGGGCCACGGAGCGCTGTATTGGGTGGGGGGGACGAATGCGGGCTGTGCCACTGGGACCTTCGGAGGAGCCCCCTATGGGGCCACGAAGCGCTGTACTCGGTGGGGGAGACGCATGCGGGCGGTGCCATTGAGACCTTCGGTGGAGCTCTCTATGGGGCCACGAAGCGCTTTACCAGGTGGGGGGGACGCATGCGGGAACCCCGCCTGGGGCCTTCGGTGGAGTTCTCGATGGGGCCACGAAGCGCTGTACAGACTGAGTGTGGCGGATGCGTGCGGGTACCCAGCGGGGGCCTTCGGTGGAGCTCCTCATGGGGCCGCGAAGCGCTGCACTTGGTGTGGCGGACGCATGCGGGCACCCCCACTGGGGCCTTCGGTGGAGCTCCCGATGGGGCCACGAATCGCTGTACTGGGTTGGGGGTGACGCATGCGGGCACCCCCGCTGGGACCCTTGGTGGAGCTCCCTATGGAGCCACGAAGTGCTGTACTGGGTGTGGGGGACGCATGCGGGCACCCCCACTGGGGCCTTCGGTGGAGCTCCCGATGGGGCCACGAAGCGCTGCACTGGGTGGGGGGTGACGCATGCGGACACCCCCGCTGGGACCTTTGGTGGAGCTTCCTATGGAGCCACGAAGCGCTGTACTGGGTGTGGGGGACGCATGCGGGCACCCCCACTGGGGCCTTCGGTGGAGCTTCCGATGGGGCCACGAAGCGCTGTACTGGTTGGGGGGGAACGCATGCGGGCAACCTCGCCTGGGGGTCTTCGGTGGAGCTCCCGATGGGGCCACGAAGCGCTGGACTAGGTTGGGGGGCGCATGCGAGCACCCCCACTGGGGCCTTCGGTGGAGCTCCCGATGGGGCCACGAAACGCTGCACTGGGTGTGGCGGACGCATGCGGGCACCCCCACTGGGCCTTCGGTGGAGCTCCCTATGGGGCCACGAAGCGCTGTACTGAGTGGGGGGGACGCATGCGGGCACCCCCCACTGGGACCTTCGGTGGAGCTCCCTATGGGGCCACGAAGCGCTGTACTGGGTGGGGGGGACGCATGCGGGCACTTCCACTGAGGCCTTGGTGGAGCTCCCTATGGGAGCACGAAACGTGTGAGGGGTGTGCCAAAGTGAGGGGGGTGACGGGAGGAGGGAGGAGGGGGGGGGAGGAGGAGGAGGAAAGAGGAGGAACGCGGGGACCGTCTCTTCAAAACGAGGACCCAGCACCACACGATGGTTGGGAACGAGTAAAAACATAGGATTTGTAGTTTGTCCGTATGTTGACTATGTTGGGATATTTCTCCATACCCAACGGATGGGGCTCTTATTATTCTCTGACCGCGCCGGTGACCTCCCCTCCTCTCCTCCCTCTCTGCACTAGACAATGATGATGATTGACATGATGATGACCACGGTATGGTGTGAGTATGACGTGCGTATGGTGATTATGGCAAATGATAGATGAGTATGGTGTTGCTGACGATGATGCTGATGATGCTGCTGTTGATGATGATGATGATGATGACGATGATGATGATGCTGATGAAACTGATGATGATGCTGATGATGCTGCTGATGATGATGTTGATGCTGCTGATGGTGATGTCGATGCTGATGATTATGCTGATGATGCTGATGATGATGACGAGGATGATGCTGATGCTGATGCTGATGATGACGCTGATAATGATGCTGACGCTGATGCTGCTGCTGCTGATGATGATGATGCTGATGATGATGATGATCAATGGTGGCGATGTGTTCTTCAAAGCTCCATCGCAATAGGGCTCTGCAGGCTCGCAAGAGGGCCTATGCACTCACGCCAGTCCGAGCCTGCGCGCTTCACGGAATCTAATGAACCCTTCTGGGATTCGCCCATGGAAGAGGGCAAACCCCCGCACGTACATTGACGGGGAAGCGCGCACCCAGACTCCGCGAGTCTCCTCACCTGGCACACCCCTGCTCCTGGCCAGTCATATGTATAACGGAAGGACCTTCATGAATCAGTCCGCGTGCTTCGGACCAGCAGGAGGCTCCACCAGACAGGACAGAAAATGTCAGGCTTCATGCGCTGCTGATCCCGATCTCGCACGAAACAAGGGGGCGAGGTCCAAGAGATGTGACTGGAGCCCCCCCCGGGCCCGGGGGGGGGGACGATTTGTTAACATAGTGATGTTACATGTTTGTTTGTTATTTCATCTCTTGTACCTCTATTGCCCGAACATTCGAGCAATCCCATCGACGAGAGAGCCAACCCCGATACGTGGAACACTGAAACCACCATCGGTTATGGCTGGCAGCTGCTGCGACGGAATGGCGAGTTGATGAGAGTGGACTTGGGAGGAGAAGGAGAAAGGGAATAAGTATGAACGAACAAGATCAACAAGGCTAACGATGACCTGTCCACCGATTTGCCGCTTGAGCGCCTCTCTCTTGTACCATGCAAGAGCGAATCCTAGATAGAACGGAATGCCAAGACACAGTAGCAGCACAACGATCGGAACTTGTAGGGGCCAGAAGATGATCAGAACAATCCCCGTGTAGCTCAGGGCATTTTGCGGATCGTCTCGAGCAACAGCTGGATCCGATCGGCCTTCAGCCTGGGCGCAGCCACGTCCTGCCCAGCATACCTCTTGATGGCGGGCTCGACCGATTTGGGAGCCTTCGGAGTAGACGACCAGCCATCGGACACCGCTTCGGTGACACCCTCGAGCGAGCCATCCTTGATCTCGATAGGGGGCCACATGCGAACCCTACCCCTACCCCCCACGATTTCTGAGGGGGAGGGTGGAATTCACTTCGCTCGGGAGCTCCCGAACGGAGTGAACCCCACCCTCCCCCCCAGAAATCGTGGAGGGCAGGGGTAGGGTTCGCATGTGGCCCCCTACTCGGTACTTCCACCAAGGACCGCCTCGAGCAGCGCCTGGTGCGCAGGAGGCACGTGGCGCGGCACTCCCGGAGGCACCGATGCCCGGGGGGGCCTGCGCCCGAGCCCGCGGGACTGCCGGCGACCGCTGCTCCTTGAGGGGCCCGCTGGAGCCGTCGGCGCGATGAGAACCGCTGCGGCCTGCACTGCTCAGGAGGGAAAGAAACACACAGACACAAGTAATCTTCCATTCCCCAGAAAATATGGGAAAGTATGGGAAGTGGTGTGGAAAACAAAAACAGAGAAAATATGGGAAAGTATGTGGAATCCTTTTATTTGTGCGTATTTATTTGTGCGTCCCAGGGCCCCTTCATGCACTGCTTCTTCGGCTTGAGGGCCAATAGCTCTGGCAATCGACTCCCCCTGCCTGGCAAGCTCGGCATCTCCATCTTTCTTCGGCGAGGCTTTGCTGTAGTTCCGGAGACGCCTGCTCTTCTTGGCCAATGAACGCCTCGGCGTCACGCATCTTATCATTAGAATCCGTAGAGCCACTGGATGAGGATGATGATCTTTTTTTAATCCTTCTTCGACCGCTTTTTGAATTTCTTTGACTTGGTCTTTTCGGCCGCCTTCTCTAACACGGCCAATCGCTCTTCTGCATTCTTCCACTGCTCGTGACGGCCGTGGGAATACTCTTGGCGGCCACGCGAATACCCTTCTTTACTCTTGTGGCGCTCATCCCACGTCATTGGCTGGAGAATGCTAGCGCTGGTCTTGGCTGAGTGGTGGAGGGATCGGATGCTCTTCCAGGCCAGCACGACGGCGGGGAGGGGAGGGACAAAATGGACGAGGGCAGTCACGAAGGAGAGGGGGTATCGGAGCTTGAGAAGCTCCACTAAAAAACTCAAACACTACGATGGTCATAAGAGCCAGGGACAAATCCATCTCTTCTTCCCTCGGTCTATCTTTCCGAACAACATTGCTCGAATTCGAGAGAGCCGAACGGGCGAGCTACCCACCCACGGCAGGGCGGTCGAACGCTGTGGAGGCTCACTCCGAGAAAGCCACCCCCGATTTCAAGTTCTTCGGCAACCACGAGAAACCGGACTCCCAGAAGTGCAATTCAAAATCAAGCCATTCGCACACTCGGTGTCCTTGAACACCATCGCTTTGGTGCACGATGGTTAAGTTTTCCAGGTGAACCTGCCCAAAAAACACGCCAAAACAATTCATACAACATTGAAATGAAGACGAGAGCAGGTCATCCGCGTAACGCACCCAGAAAATTCGCTGCAACAGCAGCGGCCCTCGGGGAAGCACGTCCGCCACGGAATACAAGATGCTGGCAACGTATCCTCGATTCCAGGTACTTGGGAAATCGAGCTTCGCATGCGCACTT